AAGGAGCCCAGGCCCGAGCCTAAGCGGAAAAAACCGCGCAAATGGATCAGACCTGACGCACTGATCATCCGCCCGGCCGAGAAAACAAGGTATGCCGAGATTCTGCGTCGCATAAAGCAGGACGTCCCAGATGAGCAGGTTCGTTCAACTGTGGATAAGATCAACAAGACCAGAAGTGGGGACTTGTTGATTACGATTTCGAGGAAGAGCACTGACAAAGGCCAGGGTCTGCAAAAGACGATCGCGGACATCCTTAAGGAGGAGGCCAAAGTGATTTGCAAAGGGCCACAGGAGACTATCGAGATCCGAGATGTCGATGATGACACGACGAAAGAGCATATTCAGACCGCTCTAAAGAGGGAAGCTGGAGAAAGTTGTGAAATCCCACTAGAGGCACTTGAGTAATCAACCCTGGGAATCTGACTGCACTAACAAAGCCGTCATCTGGTCCTGCGGTAAATGTTCTTTTCAGAGAACAGCCAACAACAAAGGAGCCGGCTTCGTAGCAGCATGGGTAGATGGCCTCCACTTCTACAGCTACTATGTACCACCTAGTCTCTCTAATGAACAGTTTGAAGACTTCCTTGATCGGCTAACTGAGGACGGAAGAAAACACTTTCCCGTGGCAATAGCTGGTGACTTTAATTCCTGGGCAGCAGACTGGGGCAGCAAGTTCACTAATACAGGTGGAAAAGCACTTCTCGAGGCAATGTCCACACTGGACGTGATCCTTCTTAACACCGGTGACACATCAACGTATACGAAGGGAGAGGCAAGCTCAATTGTCGACCTCTCATTTGTCAGCAGTTGCTTAGCCCGAAGAGGTTTTTCTTGGAAAATATTGAACATCTACACAGCCAGTGACCATAGTGCGATACCATGGGAAATATCCTTTGGCCAGAAACTAACAAGAGACAACAGGAGCGCTAGTGCGGTTGGGTGGAAAGTTAAATCTCTCGACCTTACTGCTTTAGTAGTAGCCTTAGACTGTGATCCGATCATGGTAGAAACTGCTGAAGAAAAGACCAAGGACTTGATGAGAAGAGTACCCAGGCTTGCGACGCCTAGTATGTCTCGGAAACGTGGCATGAACTCAAGACCTTCGGTGCACTGGTGGAATGATCACATTAGCACTCTACGCTCAGTGTGTCTTAAAAAAAAAAGAAGAAAGTCTCAGCGTGGCTATCGACGATCTAACTCTGCAGAGCTGGTCGCAGAATACAAAAAAGCCCGTCGATCATTGAATAAAGCCATCAAGGATAGTAAGAGACAATGCTGGAAAGAGCTCATCAACGAAGTGGATAAAGACGTGTGGGGTAGGCCTTATAAGGTGGTTATGACCCACCTGAAAAAACAACAAATGCCATCACCTACGTGTCCCCAACTTCTTCAGAAAATCGTCACTGCACTGTTTCCACAGCAACGCAACTTCGATTACCAGTTGGCGCCAGGCGAATTGGACGACATCCCACCTGTCACTGAAGAAGAATTGCTGGAGGCTTGTAACCGTGTAGGGAATAATAAAGTACCAGGATTGGACGGAATCCCTAATTTAGTCTTAAAAACCATCATAAAGGCAGCTCCAACATTATTCCTAGACGCTTATAATGCATGCCTCAAGGAGGGGACTTTTCCTCGTAAGTGGAAACAGCAGCGATTGATACTGTTACCTAAAGGGAAGAAGCCACCAGAAGAACCGTCATCTTACCGACCACTTTGCATGCTAGATACGGCGGGTAAGATATTTGAGCGCATAATTTATCAACGAATAAATGCAGTAGTCGACCCACTCCTGGCAGATAATCAGTATGGATTCCGAAAAGGACGATCAACCCTGGACGCAATCAAACTGGTTGTTGATACGGCCAAGGAAGCAATCGCAGGAACCAGATGGAAAGGTGGAACGAAAGAGTATTGCCTGGTGGCGACCCTAGACATCAGAAACGCATTCAACTCCGCCAATTGGGAATGCGTCATGCAGGCCCTCCAAGAGAAGAATGTACCAGAATACCTTCTTAAGATCGTAACAAGCTACTTTGAAAATAGGGTCTTGAAGTATGACACGAAGAACGGTCCGAGGGAGTATGATATTACTGGAGGTGTACCACAAGGTTCAGTTCTAGGCCTGCTCCTATGGAATATTATGTATGACGGTCTATTAAGACTAACTCTGCCAAGAAACGTCAAACTCGTAGCATATGCAGATGACGTAGCCGTAGTGATTGTTGCCAAACACCTTAACGAGATAAACCATATGTTTGATCTCACTTTTGAGCGCGTTAACCGGTGGATGGACGCAGTGAACCTGCAACTGGCGCAACACGAGACTGAAGCAGTGCTTATTACCAGCAGAAAAGTGGTAGAGACCATTAAGCTGAAAGTCGGCGAACAAGAAATCACATCACAACCTTATATCCGATATCTGGGAGTGATGCTTGATGCCCGACTCAATTTCAAGCAGCAAGTAGAGCATGTCAGTGCCAAAGCATCAGTAGTGAGGGCTAGTCTAGCACGACTGATGCCTAACGTCGGAGGGCCAAAGCAGAGTAGGAGACTATTGTTGGCAACTGTAGTCACATCAGTGCTTACGTACGGAATATCCATTTGGGCTGATGCGCTAGAATTACAAGAAGCATGGAGAAAGGCTGGGCCAGTATACCGTCTGAGTGCCCTAAGAGTAGCTTGCGCCTTCCGCACAATATCTGAGGAAGCAGTGTGCATCATTTCTGGAACTCTACCTCTCAGAGTCCTAGCTGAAGAAAGACGGAACCTTTACCAACGAAAGAGGTCAACAACACTGAGCGCAGAAGAACTCAGAACGGAACAAAGACAGCACAGCATCGCACGATGGCAATCTCAGTGGGATGCTGCAGAGAAGGGTAGATGGACGCATCGTCTCATACCAAAGATCGACATTTGGCTAAACCGGAATCACGGTTAGGTCAACTACTACCTAACACAGATGTTGTCAGGACATGGCTGCTTGCGGGCTTATCTTCACCGCTTTAGGCATGACGACTCTCCGGAGTGCCCGTCCTGCCCTGGAGCCACTGAAGATGTAGAGCACGTTTTTTTCGAGTGCTCGCGTTTCAATCAACCACGTGAGGAGCTGGAGAAGATCCTGAAGAAGACAATTCAACCAGAGTCAATCGTAGAAGCAATGCTGTCTTCAGAAGCTGCCTGGAATGCAACGAACACTCTTGCCACAGAAGTGCTTACAGAGCTGCGTTCCATCGAGAGAAAAAGAGCAAAAGACAGAACCTAGAAGGAAGAAAACATCTTAGCCACCAGAAGGAAGAGCGGACGCTAATTCCTCCCCCCGCGAAGAAATGCCTTACGGCGGTACCATGGGGGATCAGAGGATAGAAGAGAAAGGAGTTTAGGGTTTAGTGGGTAGGGGCGTCAGCGTCAAGTTTCAGTATGATGCTGCGTCGAGTCGCCACATATCCGGGCCAACATCTATGCCTAGAATCCGTAAAAAGGATTCCCCCCCCTAAGGGGAAAAAAAAAAACACACACACACACACACACACACACACGCACACACACACACATACATACAGACACCGTGACAACCTCGCGGGGATGGTCAGGGAAGCTTCCTGTGACCTTCAAACGTCGAGATCTGATGAAAACTCGATTTTTGCAAAACGGGGTAAAACCAATAACTTCCCGATTTTTGAAAATCTGACATTTTTAGCGGGAAGTTAAAAATAAAACGATCCAACATCTCATAGCAAGAATTCCAGCGTGTTCTAACTTCTTGGATTAGTTTTAGCGATGGTTTCGCTCCGGATTTTTCTTGTAAAGTATTTAATTCTCGAGAAGCGTTTTCACTACATCTAAAAAATTTCACAATTTTTTTAACTTTAATTATTAACTTTCTTAATTGCGATTTTTCATTAATGTTTAAATCATTTTCCGCGTCACTATCATCTTCATCAAGGGATTCAAGCATTTCACTCTGATCTGCTTCGGATGCCGGCCGTGTAACATTCACTTCTATCAGATTTTGTCCAATATTATTAAGAGTGTGACCAAAATATGATACGTCTTTTGCTTCTCCAAAGAGTTGCTTGATAGCGCCTTTTATGTTAGCGCCTCCGTCTGACAGCACAGCACTGATTTTACTTTCCTCAATTCCCCACTCTTCGCAAATTTTACTTAATCTCTCCATTAAATATGAAATTGTCTTCCTTTCGGTTAAATGATATGCACCTAATTCGTAAGAAGTCATTTCATATCCTGAAAAAAAAAAGATATATTTCATCAACAATCCAATTATTTCATACTAAATAACAACAATAACATTATTATTAATTCAAAATTACCTTTTAAATAATGAGCAGTTAAACCAAGGTAGCTGCACATAGTGTGTTGATGGGTCCAAATATCTGTGGTAAGACAGATAGAATCTGCTTCTTTTAACTCTCCCGTAACTTTAATCTTTAATTCATCGTACATAGATTTCATTCGTCCAGTGATAGTTGGCTCACATGGAATCTTGTAAAGAGGCTGTAATTTTTTTACAAACATTCTGAAGCCTTTTTTTTCAGGAGTGCATAGAGGAAGGTTATCAACAGCAATCATATAAATGAGAGCAGTAGTTACATCATTATTACTATGACCACCCACTGCAAATAAACGAATGAGTGTAATAAAATAAAAATTTTTATAGGTCGATTAGACTTTACCTGAAAATGAAGTTGTATTATTTATGCAGCGATCAATAGGCCCTTGAAAAATTGGTCTCTCAGACTCAGAACTTAAAACTGAATTTGATGAAGTACTTAAAGGTACGAGTTGATTCGAAACTTCCGATAAGCGAGGCTGTAAATAAATTATAGTAGAATAAATAATTGGTACAAAATTTAGCACTAAATTAATAAAATTACTGATCTCCAAATACAAATAAAGAGAAAGACAAGAAAAAAAGTGTAGATTTGAAGGTTATAAATATAGAATATATATAGTATATATTTACTTGTTTAGGTTGTGAAACTGTTATTTCATCGTCACTGTCTTTTTCACTCATTGTTCTAGGACGATTTTGATTAGCAGCAGTTATTTCAATGTTGTGTGCTTTTTGGAGATGTTTAATTAAACTGGTCGTACTGTTATTGTATTTAAGCTGTTTCGCACATTGGTTACATTGTACATGAGATCTCTTATTTACTTTTTTAAAATAAATCCACACGGCGCTAGGCGCCATTTTAATAAATATATTGAAAATAAATAATATTTATTATAAACAAATATCAAACAAGGTTTCGTATGTGGAACTTGAAACTAGTCGCTTAACCGTAGAATCGAATGTTAAGAATCGATTCTTGATCGACTTCAGTAATTAAAGGTCGATTCTTAAAAATCGATCATTTTACAAGAAAACTCGATTCTCGAGTAGAATCGGAATCGAGTTTACCATTCCTATTTCCTCCATCTTCAAGTTGTGACGTTTCTTTTCAACAAGTTGATTTTTAGCTGCAGTTGCATCGTTCGCAGCTTTTGCAACACCTGCAGCCCCACTTGCCAGAGCACCGACCGCTGATAACCCTGCAAACAGGGGAATCAAGAATGGAAGTACTCCACCAATCTTTGATGGAACTGGTAGAATACGAAGCAATCGAACGTTTTTCTTCCCACCAGCCTTCTTGACAGCCTTGCGAGCACCTTCAAGAGCTGTTTTAACTGGATCTCCACCAGGCTGCATGAAATTTTTAGCTTCATCAACAACCTGTCTCAAAGCAACATCTTTCTTCTTGGAAGTCTTGAGCTTAGTTGTCTTTCTTTTGACTATATTGCGTTTTATCATCTTACGCTTTGTTGTTTTTCGCTTTGTTGTTTTTCGATTTGTTGTTTTTCGCTTCGTTGTTTTTCTCTTTGTTGTCTTTCTTTTAACAACTGTCTTACGCTTCGTTGTTTTTCTTTTAATTGTCTTACGCTTGGTAATAGGATTTTCTTTTTTAAGACCCATGCCGAAACGTCTTTTCAACTTCATGATTTTATTCACACTCCAAGCAGCAGCTTTTTCACTAATAGCAGCGTCTCTCGCTTGAAATCGTTGCCACGCTTTCTCAGCAAGGATTTTATCAGCCTCGTGACGGGCTTCCAAATTTTCTCGATTTTTTGACTAAGCTATATCATGTTCCTTACACGCAGAGTCCAAAGGATTTATACCTGGATCACCTCGAGCTAACCTCTTGGCTAACTTTGTACCTGGACCACAGTACTGATACCCTGGTATATGAAGTTCAAGTGGAATCTTGTTGATTATATGGTTGACTACACCTTTACCACGTCTGCTCTCAGACATGACACATCAAAGACTAACTTGGTGATCTATATAAGCCTGTATTTATACTTATGAGTCTCAGAATTAATTGAGTAGTCATGGAGTTTAAAAAACCAAGAGCTCAGTTACCAGTTATCAACTTTGATCAAATTGTTCAAGGGACAGGAGTGAAAAAACTCAAACGACATGGTGATCTACTTCTAAACAGTGTACGTGCTGTATTTTGTGGACCATCAAACGGTGGAAAGACGAATGCTCTGCTATCTCTTATTGTACGTCCAAACGGTTTGAGGTTTGAGAATATATATCTCTACTTAAAGTCTCTTAATCAACCAAAGTATCAGTTTTTGGAGACACTGCTTAAACAGATTGATGGTATTGGATTCTTCACATTCAGCGAACATGAAGCTGTAATCAAGCCTGAAGATGCTAATAAGCCTAACTATCTGATGATATTTGACGATGTTGCTTGTGAAAAACAGGATCACATCAAGGCTTTTTTCTGCATGGGTCGACACAAGGATGTTGATAGCTTTTATCTCTGTCAAACTTATACACGAATACCGAAACATCTGATTAGAGATAACGCAAACTTTCTCGTTCTGTTCCGTCAAGATGAAATGAATTTGAAGCATATTTATGATGATCATGTAAATACAGACATGCCGTACAACTCATTCAGAGATTTATGCTCAGCATGCTGGAATAAATATGGATTTGTGGTAATAGATAAAGACAGTGAGTTGAACAATGGCAGGTATTGAAAAGGATTCGACTGCTTCATTAGTATAAATTAAGGTACTTTAAAGTGTGATAGTCCCACATGCTGTAGACTTTAACCTATCAACATGAAGCCTGAAGAAATTTCAAAGCAGAAAGATATTCTGCATCAGATATCTCAAGCCAGCGATGCTATCCGACGGAAGCATAAGATGTTGAAGTTAGGTAAAGATACAGCTGAAAAAGCCATGGAGGAAATGTTCAAGCCTATTGTAACACCACTTCAGAGTATAGTTGAATCTTCAAAGCTTAAAGAAGAAAATATTAAAAAAGAAGAAAAGCCGCAGGTTGAAAAAGAAGAGGTTCAAGAACAAGAGATTGAAAACTCTTTATACGCTGACCCAACCGCGTACAACAGTTTAATGACGGATGATGAACGTTCATCTAACAACACAGCATTTCCTATTGCCCCACCATCATTAACAAGTACTCCAAAGCCTAAAAATCCTCTTCTCACTAATTATTATTTACAACGTTTAAGTTCAAAAAACAAAAATGATATGAGATATGGAGTACGCAAAAAACATGGTGAAATTTATATGGGTGATTCAAATATTTCATTTGCAAATGATACAATAACTGTCAAAGAAAGAAATTATCCAATAACTCCTGGGTTGTTGGAATTATTGTTTACAAAAACACCAAAAGATACGCTTGTCACGCAAGATACTAAGACAAAATATTTGGAAATTATCCAGAGAACAAATACTTATAGGAAAAGTTATGATCCAAGTAAAAGTATTTACAGAGATTCAACAGATAAGTTTAAAAAATATATTGCTGATTTTGTTGAAAAGCATGGTAGAGGACTACCAAAATTTATGATTACCACCAAGACACCTATGGATTATGTTTACTGGGATGATCCAAATGAACTAGTTGATCGTTTGCGGCTGCTGATGGCGTCTCAAGCTGCTGGGAATCCAAGTCACACGAATGAAATCATGTCAATTATTGAAGAGCTTAGGGAGACTGGAGTTATATATTAAAAGCTTCTAGAAAATTATTTCATTCAGACGTTGACAGTCAAAGTGTTTACAACTATGAGCATCGATATATTTGGACGTCCACTGGTCAATGAGAAGTCAGGTCAACGAGGACCAGTTGGTAGAGGTTTCAATGTAACTTCTGATGGAAACTATAACATTGAAAATAAAAGACTGTGCAATCTTGGTCATCCTTCAAATGAACATGATGCTGCGACAGTGCAATTTGTACTGATGCATATATCTGAACTGGATAAAAGCATAGACAGTGAACAGAAAGAGATTATTTCACATTTACACTCTGAAATAGTAATACTGAAAGCTTCTATAATAAATTTGCAGAAGACTATTGAGGACGTTAAAGCAGTCTCCACTTTGTTAGGTATGCTAACAAATATAAATAATGCTGTGAAGCGGGAAAGAATAGGAGTTACGTATAATTATTACGTGAAGCGTTCCAATATTCACGTAACAGGATAATTGGTAGTAAAGGATTGAGAAAGGATTATGGAGATGATCATCTTAATGTGAGTGTATAGAATATGCGAGAAAAATTATTAGATAGCTCGGACTGGGATTTGAACCCAGAACCTTCCGAAGACATGTCGGCTACTCTACCATTTGAGCTATCCGGTCTATACTAAATGCATTTTACGATTATTATTTCATTTTTCTGTTTTTTTTATTCTTAAAATCAGAGTTAATTTATGATACATTTATAACGTTAAATTTATTCAGTTAAATTACGATCTTTTCTCGAAAGAAAGTAGTAATACGATAAATTATATATTAATCTTTATTGACAGGTGTATTTGATGCCTGCCCCCCCCCCCCCGACCAGCAGCACTCGCTTCGCTCGTGCCGCAAATGTCAGAGGCAGGCATCAATTTTTTTCAACGCAATTTTTAACGTACTTTCGACCGCATAGTAAGAAAACTAGTATACACTACATGGGCAGAAATTTGAGAGCCCTGAACTGCGTGCAATGATGCCCTCGGCTTCGCCTCGGGCATATGGCGCGCAGTGCAGGAATCTCAAACTTTCTGCCCTTGTAGTGTAATATACTATTACTCAACATTCAGCAATCTCAAAGCATCTATTTGTGAACGTTTTAATCGAACACTCAAGAATAAAATGTGGAGAGAATTCACAGCTCGTGGTAGCTACAAGTGGACTGATATATTGGAGGACTTGGTGAATACTTATAATAACACCAAACACAATACCATCAAAATGAAACCTGCTGATGTTACCGCTGCTCAGGAGAAGCAACTGCTTGAAAAAATCTATCAAAAAGTTAAACCAGAATCAAAGAAGAAAAATAGATTCAAAGTTAGTGACAAGGTTCGAATCAGCAAGTATAAAAATGTATTTGAGAAAGGATATACACCAAACTGGACGACTGAGATTTTTACCATCAAGACAGTACAAAACACAAGTCCAACAACGTACAAGCTTGTCGACTACCAGGATCAACCAATGCAAGGTGGATTTTATGAAGAGGAACTCAGCAAAGTCAAATATCCAGATATATACTTAGTTGAAAAAATTGTTAAGAAAAGTGGAAATAAATACTATGTTAAATGGCTAGGTTTTGATACTCAACATAATAGTTGGATAAATAAAACAGATGTATAATAAATATATATTTATTAACAAAAACTTAAAACTATTTATTTACAACCTTAAATCTAATTATTTACAATGTTAAGTCTAATTATTTACAACCTTAAATCTAATTATTTACAATCTTAAGTCTAAGTATTTACATTTTTTCTCCTCTTAGCTGGTGGCTCTACATCGGCTTTCTTGTAGCTTCATGGAAGAGTGTCTGTAGAGTCTTCCAGCAGTTGACGTTTATCATCATCCCAGCTCAGTGCAAGCTTATTTTGCTTGATTGTTTTTACAACATGTCTATCACTTCTTATCAAGAATTGCTCTTTACAAATATTTACATGATCTAATAAGCAATTCTTGAAGTCATCAAACGTGATCGTTCGCAACGTTGATCCCTTGACTTCCTTGGCTCTCTTCATCACCTCACTTTTTTCATGCAGCTTGAAAGCGTACAGCTTTGCTCTGAGGCCGATAAACTCTGACACAATTTTGCCATTGTTTTCGTCCTTCATGAGCCCAAGAACCTTCTTATTCTTTTGAGGCATGCCATACTCGTTGTTGATTGGGAAGTCAAAAGTATCAATCTTGTGTATATCACGTTTGATGACTTGAAAAATATCAGGCACTTTGCCTTGATGCTATAAGCATGAAGTGATAGATGAGACTGTCCGTGTCGGTATAGAGCAGCTTTGCAGCGTCATTGTCGAAATTCTCCTTGACATATTTGTAATGAAAATCATATTCAAAGATCTTTGACAAATCCAAGATACTGAAACCGACATAAATCGGTTTATTGAAGATAACATTCAATTTATTCAGCTCAACTATTACTAGATTTTCCCCGAAAATTGTGAAGCTGTTAAAGTTTGATTTTGAAATCAAACTTTTTGCACCATATCAACCAAGCCACTTGTTCACTAGCTTGATATCCTTGTGTTTACGCACATTCTCCATGGTCTTACCAAACACTGCATTGTTCATGAGCTTGAAAAAGTTCTTTTCAAACTCATTGGTAGCATTTTTACGACACTCGGTGTTCTTGTCGATGTAAGGTTTGAGCCATGGTGACTGCACAAACTTTAATACTCGGTGAACTTTTACAAGTTTCATCCCGAGATGCAAGCACTGTTCCAAGTTCTTGTAATGAAATACATAATTCATTTTTGGATGCAGAGTTGTAGCTAGCTTACGAGTCTTGCTGCCTGGTGGAGTGAAGTGTTCTGGACACAATGGCATGTCTTTATAGAGTTCATGTAGATCTTCAGGATACTCCAAGTCAACCTCAAGTACATATCCAATAGATTCATCAGAGTTGAATATTGATGAAACATTCTAATCTGTGATTTTTTCCTCCCACTCGAAGGAGCCTTGAGGAAGAGACATGCTCATTGCAGCTCCGTAGAGGTTGTTTACGTCCAGATACATGATGTAGGACTCATCTTCTTCTGGATTAAAGTCTTCACCCATGTAACGGTTATTGGCCTTGGCATATCAATTGGTGCATTGAGATACTCCACCACGGAGACCTTTCTCAAAAAACAGTATCTTTTCGGGGTCTAGTAATAGCTCAAGTTGTACCCTTGTATGTTTGAGCATGGCGGAAAAAGCAAGTCCTGGAGCAGTATAATAATGTAGAGCGTCTAATTCATAAGTTTTGTAACAACTTGCACGGAAATTTTCAAAGATATCTGCCAATAATAAGACATCTGTTTTCAGACAGAGATCAGAGTATTCACCGAGAGTCTGTACATTGAATTTACTACATACTGTTTCGGCAAGTAGTCTTCGTCACTGATGTGCTTGTCATTCAGTCGAGAGTAAAAAGCATGTATGTCAGGTAGTTCAGTCTCGTCTAATTTTTCTAAACAGTCTATGTATTCATAAGGAAAGATTCCTTTGCTTGTTACAAGTTTAAGTTGTTCCGGGTCAGAATAAAACTGTCGTGTGATTTTCATGTCATCGTCAGTCAAGTAAGATGAAAGTTTGTCGATACTCGATGCCAGGAATCTAAATGAGTCGATGAATCTAAGATGAATGTTGGTATCGTCTACAGTTTTAGTAAATGCAATGTACTTTTCTTTATTAATCAGTAATATTTCTAGTGCACCATTTAAAGCTGTCGCTACAGACTCTAAGATAAAGTGACAGTCATAGCCGGATAAATTATGAAAAACTATTGGAATAATGTGACTTTGTTGAAAATTTAAGTTACAGGAGTTATGAGCAGCTCCTCTAAATTTCCCGGTGAAGTGACAGTGATCTCTCACTTTCTTGTCATTGGCAGATTTAAATGGCTTATTACAGATATGACAATTCACTGCTTCATTAAATGACTTTTGTTCTTCATCAGTCAACTTTGGTGGAGGTTTTAGATTTCTTAAATAACCACTGACTTGGTGGCTTATAGATTTAAATTCTTGTACAAACCACTTAATACAAACTTCTGAACGATTTAAATTGAACTTGGACAGTGAATTGTCATAACTGCAATGTAAATAATAAGCTATACGGTGAGGTGTATGCTTTTGAATATCTTCTGTTTCCTCCTCCAGGACGCTTTCAAGATCTGCGTATACAACAAACGGTACTGGATCTTTGTATTGATGATCTCTGAATGATAATATTTTATTTTTTTCGGTGGGTAGAGTCATTCTGACTTTGTTATACTGGAGACAATCAGACTAATGTCTCTGGAATGATGCCTCTTGTTGAAATGACAAAGACAACGATCACAGAAGAATACCTTCCAATGCCCCTTTTTAACAGTATTTCCTACTAATCTTGAAAGATTTCGTATCCACGCAAAATGAAATATAGGTCTGTGATTTTCAATACTATCATCTTTGTTTAATGTCAAGTTTGTTTCGATCATGAGCAAATGAATAGCATCTTTCTGACACTCAAGATTTGAACTCAAGTAGAGAGGGACAATGACACTAGGATCTTCTTCATTTTGTTTTGGCTCTATACCGTACACTTTGATCCTCAAATCATTCATTTTTTCAAATGATGGTATGTCTTTTAATTCTATTGGAAATGTTATTCCTGTATGATCCAATACTGAGCTGGGATATGGATAAGATGATGGTAAATTTCTGTGTGCTTTAACTGGATATAGAGCCGCAACGATACACCAAAGAAAGCAGTAGTGATCAGCTCTTTTTAACTCCCCAATTCGTTGAGACATAACACTTGCTAGTTGCTCTCTAGTTTGAGGAACACCTTTTGGAGTCATCCATTTCTTATTCTTAGCTAAAGCCAGAGCGAAGTCTAAAAATTAAGAAATAATTCAATAAATTAAAAATATATATTAAAATAAACATGCCAGCTTTTATAATAAGTATGTTCATATAAATATGAATCAAAAATTAAATATGAAAAATATTTATCAAATTTCATTAACACTAAAATATTTAATTATTTAGAGAAATAATCTAGCTTTTTAAATTCATACTTAGTTAAAAAAAAAATTTTTTTTTCGTTACCAATAATCTCATTTTTTGCTACAGAATTTAATGCTTTCATTGGTGCTAATTTTCCTTCTTGTACGTGAGCTCTAGGAGCTTGTCCAGTCAGCGTAGCAGTCAAATAACCACTTGGCTTAAAAACTTCTGGGATCAATCTCCGGACAACGTGAGAAGCTTGGTTGCACAGTGATTTGCACATTCTATACTCTGTTTCTTTGCAGTATATTTTGTTCATTAATTTGCACATCTATCATTGAAAAATAATTAGAAATAAATATAACAAAAAACAGAACAAAAGCATCACAATAAATATTTCTGAATAATAATAGAGTCTAATACTAAAATACATACGGGTTCTCCAGGCCAATCTTTACCCCAAAGATCAGAGTCGTTGCAATCATCAATAATTTTTTCGGTAGTCTCCTCATCCGGACTTGTCTTGTCGGCTGTAATATTGTGAGCATTGTTTTCCTTATTATTAGTGCCACCTTTTAATATTTTTGACTCATGACGACTCTCATCATTTTCACTAGTCTCTAGCACATCACTCGACTTTTGATCATTGACATTTGATAAGCTATCATCTGTATCACTTTCAGTAGCAGAATTAAAGTCGGTATTATAATTTTTTTTTTTGAATTCAGTGTGAGAAGTGAATGCAATATCGTCGTCTAATTGTTCTGTTGTTACTGAAATGATAAAAAATAATTATTAACGTCATTTTTAATGAAACAGCTATGCTAAAACTAATTTTATATGAAATTTTTAAAAAATTCAAAAAATTTGAATAGAAGTGAAAATTAAAAAGTCGGAAAGAAATAGTTTTCGGTTCTTGAAAATTTCTTACCATCGGATTTTTTAGAGTTTTTGATTTCTTTCTGCAATTTCGCCAGTTGTTTTTTTAATTCATCTTTGGAAGGGCTACTTCCGCAATCTTCAGATTTACTTTATTCAACAGTTATGTCTTTTTCAATTAGTGTCTGCAATATTTTGTCACCTTTTTTTCTATTATCATCCTTAATTTCCTGTAAAATTTAAATTTTATATTATATTAAGTTAGTAAATTATATATTTCATTTTTTAGAATTTTTAATCTTTTGATAACATTGTTTAATACTATATAAATTTAATTATTTTAATGATAAAAAGAAAATAAGAAACCAAGTTCAAACTTCGAAAAAATTAATTCTATCTTCATACTATATTCAATAATAATCTGTTGATTATTTGAAAGAACAATCAACACGCTTTTGTGACTTATAATAAATAATTACAATATACATACTTTTTTTTCGGATTTACGGACTTTCGGAAGCTTTAAAAGGTCCATATTTTCAAAAGATAATGAGGTATACTTGGAATTTATTTTCCTTGTCCTTTTTGTTGAAACAGATTCCTTTTCAATTTTTGGAGATGAGCTTGGACGCGTTCTTTTCATTAAACTTTGTTTAATTTGCTCAAACTTTGTATTAATTTTTTTTATATAGTCTAAAAAAATCACATTAAATTATATTAATTTATTAGTACTCTCATAAAAATAACAAGGTTTTGGTAAAGAACAGGAGTTAGCGAAGATATTATAAATTAATATAATATCTTCAGGTAAAAATAATAAAATAAGTTCAGTAATTAATATTTTGCTACTAAGGTCAACTAATTTTTTTGACTTACCAGACATCATAATCACTTGTCCAAGTTCTTGTTTGTCACCGTAGTAAAATTTTACGTCTTCACCATCTTTTGGCGGGCTATCTTCATTATAGATAACCTCACTATCATCAACTTTACAAACAGAATCATCTCTCTTACATTTTAAAATAAACATTGTATTATTTTTTTTTCTATGCACCTAATTCTTACTGTCAGACTTGTTTAATTTTTTTTAAACAATTATTTAATGTAATTGAATAAAATATTAGTATTAATTGGAAGCCGAAACTGAAACACGCTTTGTGAAAAAAATGGCTGTACTTAGTGCTTTGTGTATGCAAGTGTGTGTGAGGATTAACAGTGTTGGTGTATATATACCAACCTGCCAGAGGCGCCATTAAATGGCGCTTTGTCGATGAATGTATAGTACACACTGTTTATACCCCACACATTCTAGTACATATGTATGTCGCATTTAAACTTATTATATGTACACACATAACCTTTTCCATAACAGATAAGACTTAATACAAAATCTAGGACTTTTTTTGAAAATTAATTTAAACAAAATTTATAGATCAAATTTATTTTGAAATATACATGTGTATTAATTGATTTATTTGACTACTAACTCGTGAAGTAAGAATTACAGAGTGAAATTATTGTTAGCAAAAACTTTTATTTTCTACAGAGAAAAGTCAGTAAGTAAAAATTTTCACAGTAGATTTTTAATAATAAAGATATAAATAATTAATAAAGTGCCTTATCAACTAATTGGACGATAATAAAAACCCTGGTTGTTATGAATTAATCAGTATCTATGCATGTTTTGTAAAATTATGGAGTTTTATTTAAATTTTTTTTCACTATTTTGTTTGTAACCTTTACTCCAAGCTTTAAAGATTAATAAATAATCGAAATATTCGTAACATAATAATTTAATTTTATGAATTTTTTTATTGTCCAATTTTTTCTAATCTCATTATTCGAAGTTAAAATAAATATTTTAATCAAATCTATATTTATAAGTTAAAATACATATTTTCATAAAAACTTAATTACTAAGTAATACATTTTGCTTCTTTTTCTAGATAGTACGTGTTAAAAGTAGTTTGACCAATTTCTACACTTTATTTAAAAGAATTTCATAATAAAATGTCATCCGATGATGATGAAAATTCTTACTCACCAATTCCTAGAAGGAGGTATAAGCGATACAAATCAGATTCGACAGCTCCGGTAAATATTTTATAAATAATTTATATTTACGAGTAATTTACAGTAGTTATTTCTTTTATTGGAGAAATAAATTATAATAATTTATCTATTAACATAATTCCAAAAAATTATAAAGCTGCAGATAGTTTCAGTATCATTTTCATTTTTATAATTTAGATTCCATTGAGGACACTAAATCGATGGCGAACAAGTGGCTTTTTCTCTAACGACGATACTAGTAGAAGTGAAAATTATCATGAAGAATCAAGTATTGATGAAAATGATTGTGCAACAAATGTTATAAATAACTTGACAAATGATGATAATTTTTCATCAAGTGATGTATCGGATATCGATAGCGTTTCAAACAAGAGTACGGATGATCGATGGAATGAAAGCGATCAGGAATTAGCTAGTGACCACGATGATGAAGAAGTAAATGATAATGATGATGAATGTCCTGTTGATTACGAAAATGATGATGATTTCGAAGATGTCGAAGGTGATCATGATAATTTAATCGAGATAGAAGAAATCATCCATGAAGATATAGATCAAAGTAATATGATTTTTCCTAATAGTACTATGAGCGTAGATGAATGTGTATTATGTTTATTAAAGTTATATATTAAACATAATATTACTAAAGCTGCATTAAAAGATATATTGAAAATGCAACTTAAATTTTTACCAGAGGATAATGAAATGCCAAAAACATTATTTAAACTTTTTCAATACGCTAAAAATATTGCTCCTCCAACCAAATTTATAAAGAATTACTATTGTAAAAAATGTTTGTTTGGCGTTGATATTGAAATTTCAGGTAAAAAGCAAATAGAAAAATGTTCTTTGTTTAAAAAAGAAAAGATCTCAGATATTGGATTTTTTCACGCATTTGACGTTTCTGATCAAATAGAATTTCTATTTGAACATAATAATCTAGCTGAAAAATTAAAACTAACTCGATCACAAAATGATGGAAATATTTCAGATATAACTGATGGAACGGAATATATCAGAGTAAATGCGCGGAATAATAGAGGTACTTATGGTTTAACACTTATTCTCAACACTGATGGCTTATCTTTGGTAAAGAGTGCAAAAAGTCATTGCTGGCCACTTATGTTCACAATCGCAGAACTACCTCTAAACATCAGAGACAAATATATAATAATAATTGGACTGTGGTATGATGACAGCTGTAAGCCATCCATGAATCTTTTTCTCAAGCCAATTTTTAATAAACTAAAACAATGCTTCGTCACTGGTATTGATTGGATAAATCCAAAAACTAGGGAAACGATAAAATCCAAAATAGTTGCTCCGATAATGATAGCAGATGCACCAGCTAGAGCTCAAGTTCAAAATATTATGTCCTTCAACGGCCGTTACGGATGTAACATATGTGAGATTCGGACGGTAAAAAGTAAACCTATTGCTGGATTGAAAACTTCGCGTATTTTTCCGTATAAAATTGATTGCAGATTAAGAACTGGAAAGAGAATGGAAGCTCAAGCTAAAATGCTACTTAAAAAAAATACTAAAATTCAAATCCGAGGTGTGAAAGGATATTCTATTCTATCTTGTCTTCCTTTAATTGATCTTGGAAAATGTGTTTTACCCGAATTCATGCATTCAGTTTTACTTGGTGTCGTCAAACAAGTATTTGGTCTTTGGTTCGGAAAAAAAAGTCCTTACAGTTTAAAAAGCAAAATCACAGAAGTTGATGACTTTATGTTAAGGATACGACCACCGCAGTCATTTTCCAGGTTACCTCGAAAATTATCACAGTATAATTTATTTAAAGCATCTGAATGCTACAATTTTTTGTTATTTTACTCTCTTCCATTGCTTGCTGCCTATTTACCAGAGATATATGTTCAGCATTGGTTATTACTAGTGAAAGCTATTTTCAATTTAGTTAAATCTACTGTAACAGTCACGGATCTTGAGGAGTCGAATGACTTATTAAAATTGTTTGTATCGCAAATTGAAGAGTTGTATGGTGATCGACAATTAAGTTATAACGTTCATCAACTCCTCCATTTAGCATTATGCGTAAAAAGGTGGGGACCCCTACAAGGAACTTCAGCTTTTTCATTTGAAAATTTTAATGGCTACATAGTGTTACGTCCCGGTTTCCTCACAGGTTTGTAGGTAGCCGGTATAACAACTAGAGCTGGAGATAAAGATGTTACGACCTCCAGAGTCGTAAGTAGAGGTTCTCGAATTAACTCCGAAATAACTAACTTCGGGGGATTTAATTAACAAACAACTTTATTTAACTATTTAAAATACACGTTTAATTAATATGATTTGACAACTGCCGCGAAGTACGTAATGGTATTTCGTAACCGGAATTAATAGTCTCATGACAAGTATAAATTATGAAGAGTCTTAAGTGCGTAACTTTAAGATTAAGAAGAGCCCCGAACTACCCGTGCACCCTGTTTATATCTCCTCGTCCAAGGGCCGCGCCCTAGGAGGAGTAGGGTTGCGTATCGGGCCCCGAATGTCCTGTTCTCTCGAGTTGATGTGCGTGGCGTTTCCGAGGCCCACTCGGATGACACACGCTGACTCAACTCCAGAGTCCAGGACACGCAAGCGTTCGTTATCGTTTGTTTATTTAGAACATTCCTCGAATGTTCTCGAATATACCTCGTGTACTCAACGCTAGTTGTCTTACAATGAATCATTCTAGTTTTTCCATTAACATTCTTCGAGAGAAAATGTTAATGTGAACTTAAGATTATTCTGTTTACTCAGGTGTTGATCAACTTAAAAAACAAACTAAATCTTAAGCAAATATTAGTTGATCAATATATTTTCCATCATTTTTTTAAAAATATGTTCTTGTTTAATTAAATTAACGTTAAATTTTGTGTCTTTTAAGATATAAGATCTTATATACTAATATGAATGAAACTGTTAACATCGTTATTTGCCAGATAAACTTATGAAAGTAATAACTATTACTGTACCTGAGCTTAAAGGTTTTAAAAGATATCTTTTTACGTATTTAAAATTTTGTTATTCAATGATAACGATAAAATCGATATACCATTAAGTTAATATGCAATAATAAAAATGTAAGGTTACTCATAATTTTTCATAAGTCGATGAATATGTAATAATTAGGGCCAGGAATCTGGTATTTTTATTAAAAAGAGACAAACGATCAATAATCTGATTGGTTGAAATAAAATTGATTTTTTTTTGTTTTCTGAACTCGACTGAAGCTATGAGCAAAATAAAATTAAAATCAGATGACTAATCAAAAAAAAAAAAGTTAATGGATAAAAAAGTCAGGTTGACCTAAAAATTTACCGCTGTTTGAACTTAAAACCTGGCGGTGGTATAACCTAAACGCCTAAACGTGGAAAAATAAAGAAGTTTTGGTAAAAAAAATCGGATGTGAATTTTTGCAGATAATAGTTTCTTATTAGGCGATTTAGGCGATTCATACGCGACATGTGAGCGATATTTGAGTGATACCTATGTGGCACTAAAGCGACATTTCAGCGATACCTCAGTGACACTCACGCGACACTTGAGCTATACCTATCCGACAATCAAGCGATATTTGAGCGACATTTAAGTGACACTTATATGACACCTGAGCAATACTTGTGCGACACAGGCGACACTTACGTGATACCTGGGCAATACCTGTGCGACACTTGAGCAACACAGACGTGACACCTGAGCAATACTCATGCAAAACCCGTACGAAATTTGACTGACTCATGAGTGCCATGCTACACTTGTGCAATACCGATAGATTTAGAGCAACATTCGGGCGACACATACACGACACGTAAGCGATACTTTTCCGACACTTAAACAGAGCCGATGCGACACTCAAGAGATATTTAGGCGATGCATACCTGACACCCGAACGACACTTTAGCAATATCTATTGGACACTCAAGCGATAGTTACGCGACACATGTGTAA